ATAAAAGCCGATTGTAGTACCAATGACAATTGTGTGTAATCCCTATCCTCGATCCGACTGATCTATCAATGATACTATTAGCTTTTTTTCAGATTGGATAAGAGATACCTCCAGATGAAGAACAAATGAATGAAGAACATCACATGAAGATATACACAAGCAAATTCACTAACGGCCATAGGAAGAAACAGATCTAATCGATTCTTTAACCAATCTAGGGCACAAGACGGAATGGAAGTAACCTGTGTTAGCAACAGAGTGAAATCCGTTATGTAGACCAAGCAAGAAAGCGAGAGGAACGAGCATCGAGAGCAAAACAAGGCCTAACACTGCAATTACAAGCCAACTCCATCGCCTCTTCCCCGGCATGGCGTTGTATGATGAAATCCCACCACCCTTCATCCCCTGCCATCCCCCATTTACTTCAGTTTATTTATTCTAGTTCTAGTGATGTGATGATAGTAATAAGAAAATTTTACAAAACCAACCTGGAGCTTTGTATAACTACATATTCTACCCCTTCGTTTTAAGAATTTACTTCAAACACTTGCTATGATGAAAGGAAATATTAACGAGTTCATAGATTCATTTTGGACAGGATATAGAGAAACTTACAGCTTTAGTCATTGCTTATTAGTCATTTTATTAAGAACTAATCACATAAAAAGCATTATATTTTGGTTTAACGAAGATTAAATATTTATGTTAAACAACCATGTGTGTTTAGATAAAAGTTCTATCGCAATCATTATGATTTGAAAGTGTTAATGAATCATTTATGTATCTTTTTTTGTTATAAAAAAATATCCATATATATTTTCAAAAAGTTCATTCGAAACTATTATCCATTTTAGAGTTTATTTTAATCAAAACAATGTAATATATCAAAAATTATAAGTTTTATCATCTATAAACAAACATCTATATCGATATATGTTGATGTCAAACTGTAATTTTTTATATTTTTTGTTGAAACCCGTTCGGTTTCGGTTTTTTATAATTTAGTTTTCAATTTGTTGGGTTGAAAAATCATTTGTTTTTTTTGTTTCTATAATTTTGTTTTTTTGTTTGTTTTTATTTATTTATTTATTTATTTATTTATTTATTTTAGGGGGGGGGGGGGGGGGGGGGGGAGAGAAGGGGTGAAAATCTATTTGTGTTTGTTTTTTGTGTTAGAAAACCAAACCTTAAAATTTTGGTTTCTATAATTTAGTTTGTGAGTGCAACTCTCATATAAACACATCAACTATATTCTATAATATAGTTTTAAACCAAATGATTTTTTAACCCAAAAAAACAAACTAAATCATAGAAAACGAAAACAAATGGTTTCTCTACCAAAAAACAACTAATTTTATGGGTTGGAATTGATATATATCAATATAGATGTCTGTTTATAGATGAAATTTTTTTTATAAATTTTGATATATTAAATAAATTCTAAAAAACAAAACCAAAGAGTGGTTACGATGAATTTTTTTGAAAAATAGGGATACTTTTTACCGAACAAAAGAGGAGACATTATATGTTTGACAATGGGGAAAATGACTTTTGAGGGTAATTAATTTCTGCGTTTGTACTTATATGGTCCTTTATATATATATATATATATATATATATATATATATATATATATATATATATATATATATATATATATATATATTCAATATACCATCGAACTTGTTGTTTGTGTTCACCATAACCTTTTTGACCGGCTTTTGATCTGTGACAGCCAGTCAAAGGGTTATGGTGAACACAAACAACAAGTTCGATGGTATATTGAGTACAAAAAAAAAGGACCAAATGAGAACAAATGCAACAGTTGGTTACCCTCCTGATTCATTTTCCCTTTACTCATTTACAGCAAATCTCACGTCATCTCCTACTGATATTAATGACTTTATGAGATTCATTCTTGTTTCTCTTCAAAACATAACCCACGAAAGAATATTATTCACACATGTACAACTTTGTAATGCACTTGAATATTTATTAGGGGAATCTTGACTAAGCGTGCGCATTTCATGACTACATTTACATTTCCAATCAAATGATTTATCGTATCATGGATTCTAGACAAGTCTACAAACGAGCGGAATCACAAGTGTTGTGATTTTTTAGTTTACTTAGCTTTAAGATCGAATTCATGGGATAAGATACAATATCAATATGTACAATATCATGATGCTTTTGTAGACACATCACCAAAATATACCTTGAGGTAAACGTTTATGCTGATAAATATATCTCTCATACACAGTCGTATCCTTTTGCAGAGAGGTGTTGACATCTAACCACAATAAGCATAACATAGAGCATGTTTTAACAAGGTTACCCCTTTGAAACGCTCTTCATATACGTTATAACCAAAGAAGGTTGCGGTCTTTGATAATTTTGCAACTTTAATTTCATTTAACTTTTCGGGGAAAATGTTTCAGGAGGGTAACCAACTGTTAAGTTCGTTCTCATTTGGTCAATTTCTTTTTTTTGTACTCAATATATCATCGAACTTGTTGTTTGTGTTTACCATAACCCTTTGATCGGCCATCACAAGTCAAAAGCCGGTCAAAAGGGTTATGGTGAACGCAAACAACAAGTTCGATGATATATTGAATATATATATATATATATATATATATATATATATATATATATATATATATATATATATATATAAAGGACCATATAAGTACAAACACAGAAGTTAATTACCCTCAAGAGTCATTTTCCCTTTGACAATGCATGTCATAATGTCCCTGTAGTAACTTTTATCCAAAAATTAACGGTTATTTTAGGATAAATGAAAATTGGGTGGTTAAAATCGAAAAATAAAATAACAATATATAATGTTTTTATGTCATTGATATTTTATTAAAGAAATTATTTGATTGAAAGAGTTGATTGGAAAATTACTAAAATGTTAACGGGCAATGCCAATTTTTCATATCAATGATAAAATGTTTTATGATCGAATGAAACATATTGATGTATTATATCATTTCATAAGAGAAATAATTGATAAAAACGAGTTTGTTGTAAGGTCAACACAAATAAAAATCCAATTGATATGTTTATTATGTCGAGTTTGACTTATGTTTGAATTTTATGGATGTTCAAGAATGCAAGTGAGCCAAGAGACTTTCGTTGAGAGATGAAATTATTGTTTGAACTTTGAAGGTCGTTTCCGTTGTTATTTTATTTTAAGTTTTTTAGTAGATTAAAAAATTATTATTGTTCATTTGGTGTTTTTGGATTTCACGTGTTAAAGTGGAGATTGTTGAAAGGTATGTTTCCAAAAGTCTAACTTATAGTTGCAAGTTATCACCTCCTAAGATATATAGAATGTTTCATTGTGGATAAAATTGTATTGCCCAAGTCTTACACGTTCGTAATTTATATTATCAATGTTATTTAAGCATAATTGATTAATCTGTTGACCAAATACAATCTTGATAAACATTAAACGGATAAGGATGGTGTGTAGTGCATACTTTTTTTAGTTTGTTCAAGATTCAAAGTACATTGTTATTTAGGGACGCAACCCCCTGAACCTACAGGGTCTGGGGGCAGCGCCCTTGATAGTGGGGTCCAAGGAGTGGCAACCCGGTCCAAATTTAAGAAAATTGACCTGGTTTTTTACGTTGAACCTTTAGTGATAATTTATAGTAGTTTTGTGACAATTTTGAAACAGTTTATACAGTTTACAGACAAAAAGGTTATTATCAATTTTTGGTCAGATTTCTGATACATACAAAAACATAATATTCCATCATTTTCTCCGTTCGAAACCCATTGAATTTTATCCGATTGAACTTTCAATTTGTATCATTTAAATACATCAAATTTGATAGTGATTCACGACTTTGAGTAGATTCCAAACAATTGATTACCCCCGTTTTCTAATATTACAATGATGCATATCTATGTGCAAAGTCTTTCAATAAATACATAATTTGCTTAATTATTTTGATTATATTTTTCTTAAAAACGTTGTAACCTCAAAGTGATGTAATGAAGTGATTTCTGGCATCTCTTGCGAATGAATTTTCCTAGTTGGCTTTCTATGTAAAAATCTTGATGTTATTTTTTTCCCCTCTTATGTTTCCGTTACATTGTTATTAGTTGTTCATATAGTTGGTTGTTCCGTTTGAATCATATTATAGTACGTAGTATAACGTTTGGTCTTGAAGATTGTTCAGACTACTTAATTGATGTAGTATTCACTTTACTATAGATGGTTTGTGGTCGTTTTGTCGAGAAATGTTATTATTTAATCTAAGAAATAGTAAATATTTAGATATATTCAATTAATTAAGATTTGTACGGGTCCGTGTTAGTTTGTGAATTCAATTTAAAGAATATAAAAAATTAAAGATCGGATACAAATGAGATAAATTGAGTAAAATGTTTTTCATGTGAAAGGCATGAGAGATGATCAACCCATCATGCTTGATATCATCTATATTCGAGGACCATTATTCAAGGACCATGACTGTAATTTAAAAAAGGCTACATTAAAAAGTAACAATACATTCTTATCTATTTAATTAGAGAAACTAAATATCCTGCAACGTTTTATTTCTATTCATCTTCCTACCCTATCAAATGTTGATATGTATCATATTTAATGACATATTTAATGAAATTGATAATATTTTAGTCCACTTGTCACCATTTAATGTAGATAGCATGATAGTAGGAATAAAATGTGAGAGGGTCTTTAATTTTTCATTTAATTGTTGTAACATTTTTTATACTATAACATTATATTTTAAACTTGGACATCATCTTTTAATATCTATACCTAATTTTCGAATTGAGCTTTCAAAATTGTATTAGACTTATAAATTTGTAACCAATTATAGACAAAATATATTAAGGTTAATATCTTCTTCGCTTAGAATTTGATTTAAATAGACATTTCATGGTTTTTTATAAAGACATAAACTGAATGTCACATGTTTATTTGATACCTTGGAATATCATGTTTCATTGATGATATGGCCTTTTGAGTGAAAAGAAAACAAAATTAAAAATAAAAAATAAAAAAAATAAAGTCGCACCCAAACCATTATCGTGTTGGGTTATTGTTTAAAAAACATAAGATTTAGCAGACTTTGATATTTTGAACAATATAAACTAGTCCAACCATTGATCCTCTTATAAAGTTTGGAAAGGAAACAACCAAAAAAGAAGAAGGGGGAAGAAGACAACATTTGTAGTCTTTGAATCCTCATCGAAAGACTTGGAAGTTGTATAGGAATGTAAGAACTTTTGAGACACCAACAATAATCCAACTTGATGATGATGTTTGTCTTTAAACTCTTCAAATCTTAAGCTTAAAGTTCATATCCAAATTTGAACTTCAAGAGAGCAAAAATACAAGCAATCTTCAAGTA